CTGGCGATCAGAGACACTGGCGATCAGAGACACTGGCGATCAGAGACACTGGCGATCAGGGACACGGACGATCAGGGACACGGACGATCAGGGACACGGACGATCAGGGACACGGACGATCAGGGACACGGACGATCAGGGACACGGACGATCAGGGACACGGACGATCAGGGACACGGACGATCAGGGACACTTGGACGATCAGGGACACTGGCGATCAGGGACACTGGCGATCAGGGACACTGGCGATCAGGGACACTTGTGATCAGGGACACTGGCGATGAGAGACACTGACAATGAGGGACACTTGTGATCAGGGACACGGGCGATCAGGGACACGGGCGATCAGGGACACGGGCGATCAGGGACACTGGCGATCAGGGACACTGGCGATCAGGGACACTGGCGATCAGGGACACTGACAATCAGGGACACTGGCGATCAGGGACACTTGTGGTCAGGGACAGTCAAGGACACTTGTGATCAGGGACAGACAATCAGGGACACTTGTGGTCAGGGACAGACAGTCAGGGACACTTGTGGTCAGGGACAGTCAGGGACACTTGTGATCAGGGACAGACAGTCAGGGACACGTGATCAGGGACACTGTGATCAGGGACAATTAGGGACACTTGCGATCAGGCTTGCTCTTGCTCAGGCTATCCGGCTCCTTCTCTCACAGACAGAACTCCGTGTGAGGAGAAGGAGCCGGAAGCCGCACCATGCCCTGTATCTGAGGGACCCGGCGATCTCTGGGCACGCGCGTGCGCGCGTCAAGGGGGCGGAAGCCGCACCATGCGGCTTCTATTTACATTAAGACTGTGTCCTTATTGGACACAGTCGGTCACATGGTACAGGACGGTCCTGTACCACGTCAGGTGATCGCCGGTATCCGAGGGACACGGCGATCACCGGGCTCGCGGGTGCGCGCTCTAGGAGCCACGCACGAGCCTCGGATGCGGGCGGCCGTTTATAAACGGCCACCCGACCCTGCACTGCCACCGTCCGGCCGTTTATATACAACGGCCGGTCTGGAAGTGGTTAAGGGGGGTAAATCCTCAGGAGGGCGAGTGGTTAACCAGTGCTCAGCTGGAGAAAAGGTATTTAGCAGTTTATACGTACTAAAATAATTGCATTTTCATGTTGTGTGTACTGTGGAAGACCGGATATAGTGAATGCAGGGTCCTGGGTTTAGTAACACGTGATTATGCTCAGCCATGCCACCCTGTAGCAATACATCTGCTATAGGGCGGCGGGCAAGTGATTAAATCATTAATGCTAAACCGCAGACACAACCCAGTACACACAGCACTGTGCACGGTAATACAGACTACATCATGTACTTAATACACACAATACATGCACCCATAACCTGTATTACTTCATTATTTTTGAACAGCCAGCTTGTTTCATCTAAGCATCTGTGCTGCTGGGATGATTAAGTTGGAATGAATATGTTTCTGTGCCCTATATGAGCAAATTGCATGTTTACTTTAAAGTGAACATATGTTTTTTCAATGGAAAATGCGGGCAAGCAGAGGTTCTACAGCCCCATGTTTGTACCAGCTAGAATATTCTTAGAGCAGGGGTGTCAAACTGGTGGCCCTCCAGCTGTTGCAAAACTACACGTCCCATCATGCCACTGCCTTTGGGAGTCATGCTTGTAACTGTTAATCTTGCAATGCCTCATGGGACTTGTAGTTTGGCAACAGCTGGAGGGCCGCCAGTTTGACACCCGTGTCTTAGAGCTTACGCAGGGCTGCTTCTCACTCAAAGGGATGGAAAGGGAAGAGAAGTATAATCTGCTCTATTGTTCTGCAAAGACAAAGCACAGGTCCACGTTAACCACTTGCTGCTTGGTCACATTAAAAATTTACATTTTATTTCTGATTATATTCAATTGTCCAATTACATCTGGTCCCTTGAAAAAAGGGGGGATGGCTACTCTTAAGAGCTGTAATTCCTAAACCCTTCCTCCAATTTGGATGTACATACCCTCAAATTAAACCTGAGAGTGTGCACTTTCAGCCCATATCCATCATAGAACTATAGCTTGAATATGTTTTTGGTAAATACCTGAAAAAAACTAAAATTGTGCTTGTGTCCAAATATATATGGACCTAACTGTATAAATATATTAGTTTGCAAACATAACTTTCATACAAACCAACTATTATGCATTTATTGTGATTTTTTTTTTTTTTTTTACCAAAGACATGTAGCAGAATACATTTTGGCCTAAATTTATGAAGACATTTTATTTTATTTATTTATTGTATTTTTTTTATTGGATAGATTTTTATAACAGAAAGTAGAAAATATTGTTTTTTTTCTGTCTTTTTTCATTTATACACTGCTCAAAAAATGAAAGGAACACTATGAAAACACATCAGATCTCAATGGGGAAAAATATCATGCTGGATACTTATACTGCTATGGACTGGGCAATGTGATAGGAATGTAAAGATGCCCCATTGTTTGATGGAAATGAAAATGATCAATCGACAGAGGACTGAATTCAAAGACACCCCAAAAATCTAAGTGAAAAAAATGATGCAGCAGGCTAGTCCATTTTGCTGAAATTTCATTGCAGCAACTCAAAATGGTACTCAGTAGTTTGTATGGCCCCCACATGCTTGTATGCATGCCAGTGAGCGTCAGGGCATGCTCCTAATGAGATGATGGATGGTGTGCTGGGGGTATTTCCTCCCAGATCTGGACCAGGGCATCACTAAGCTCCTGGACAGTCTGAGATGCAACCTGGCGGCGTTGGATGGACTGAAACATGATATCCCAGAGGTGTTCTATTGGATTTAGATCAGGCGAGCATGATCAGCCACTCAGTGGTAGCAATCCCTTCATCTTCGAGGAACTGCCAGCATACTCTCGCCACAAGAGGCCGGGCATTGTTGTACACCAGGAAGAACCCAGGACCCACTGCACCAGTGTGGTGTCTGACAACGGGTCCAAGGATTTCATCCCGATACCTAATGGCAATCAGGGTGCCATTGTCTAGCCTGTAGAGGTCTGTGCATCCGTCCATAGAAATGCCTCCCCAGACCATCACTTACCCACCACCTAAATGGTCATGTTGAATGATGTTACAGGCACCATAATGTTCTCCATAGCTTCTCCTGACCCTTTCACATCTGTCACATACGCTCAAGGTGAACCTGCTATCATGTGTGAAAAGCACAGGGCGCCAGTGACGAACTTGCCAATTCTAGTGTTCAATGGCAAATGCCAATCGAGTTCTCTGGTGCCGGGAAGTGACTACAGGGCCCACTAGAGGACGTTGGGCCCTCAAGCCACCCGCATGAAGTCTGTTTCTGATTGGTCAGAGACATTCACACCAGTGGCCTGCCGGAGGTCATTTTGTAGAGCTCTGGCTGCGACCTTCTACGGCCCTGTCCAGCTCTCCTAGAGTAACTGCCTGTCTCCTGGAATCTCCTCCATGCTCTTGAGACTGTGCTGGGAGACACAGCAAACCATCTGACAATGGCATGTAATGATGTGCCATCCTGGGGGATTTGGACTGTGCAACCTCTGTTGAGTCCAGGTATCGCCTCATGCTACCAGTATTGACACTGACCCTAGCCAGATGCAAAACAGTCAGAAAAGACATCAGGATTTGATGTTAATGGGCCAAACTGCCCTGTACTTTTAGCCTAAACCTGGGTACATACGATCAGAACATCAGATCGTTCAGCGGGAACTGGCTGACATTTGGATCGAGTGTACAGCTGTCGTGCTGACAGAAGCCGGTCTAAGGACCGGCTTTTATCAAAGGGACATGCTGGAAAACCAGCATCTGATCAGTGCTTTCAGCCAATGGCTGAGCGCTGATTAGTGTGTCTTGGCAGTCCGCTCCCCTGTCAGCACACAAAGGCACAGAAGGAGAGATTTCTGCACTAATATCACTTAGTTCAGCATTCTCTCGGTTTTTCTTTCGTTCAGCTTGCTGGGTTGAACGAAAAAAAACCCCAATATGTGTACCAGGCTTTAAAGTCTATATCTGCACAGACATAGGTATGCCACCATGTGGCAGTTGCTGGGCCTTGTACTTTAGAAGCTCTATTAGTGGTGCAAGAACCATAAAGATATGATGTGGGACCATATGGTCTCTATTGTCTAAATGCGACCATAACTTACAAGTTTTTAGTACACTATGTGTTTAGTATAGTTATTAACGTGTTCTGTTCTGTGGGTGCTGAGTTGAAAACCAAATGGACTGAAACACTTTGCAGTTTTCTCTCTACATTCCCCCTTAGTTCACTTCCCCTGGTAATGTCCCTGCCCGCCATGCTTAAAGCTTTCTGTAGTCAGAAAAATGGTTGTCACGGACAAGTTCCAGAGAGAGAAGTCAACTGTATTGGAATTTTCTAGCTTATCACTGTTCCATTGTTTCTCTGTATTCCGGATTCTATGGGACAGTCCAAGTTTTGTACAATGTCCTACAGTATCAGTGTCCTGCAGATATACTTAGCAGCTATGTTGTTCTTCCGTGAAATGACTACTATCTGGGGTGTTTGCTCAGTTCATAAAGATGTACACTGACCCAAAAATCTACATATGTCTATGTCTGAGAGAACACCTATTTTCCAGTTATTGAAAATGCTCATGGCAAAAGCCATATTTTGCTTTTCATCTTTGCAGGTTCTGCAGTGCTACACAATGGTTGTGCTTTGTTGCTCCTTCATAAAGTTCAAGTCTCTGAATTTGTCAACCCATTAACAGCAATGCACTACATCTACGAATTTGGAGGAAACCTATCTCAGCAGCTGAACTCTAGCCAGTTAAATGTACCTTTTAAATACATACACAGTTACAGGTTTACCCAGTAAAGCATTTATGATTCTGTAAAGCCATTTGTGTGATTTACGCAGGTCTGTCAAATTGCACAACTAGGCAGGTGATACTTGGGCACACTCGGATGCTGGGAGACAGTACTCTAGTGCTCTAGACCAGTGGTCTCCCTTTGCTTGCTTTTATCTGGCCCTTGGAGCACTATTCTTCCCACTGGCACAAATGGTGGGGCACTATTCCTCCCACTGGCACAAATGGTGGGGCACTATTCCTCCCACTGACACTAATGATGGGGCACAATTCCTCCCACTGGCACAAATGATGGGGCACAATTCCTCCCACTGGCACAAATGGTGGGGCACTATTCCTCCCACTGACACCAATGGTGGGGCACTATTCCTCCCACTGACACCAATGATGGGACACTATTCCTCCCACTGACACCAATGATGGGGCACTATTCCTCCTACTGACACCAATGATGGGGCACTTTTCCTCTCACCAATACCAATGATAGGACATTATTCCTCTCACTGACACCAATGATGGGGCACTACCCCTCCCATTGACATCAGTGATGGGGCATTTTTCTCTCACCAACACCAATGATGGGGCACTATTCCTCTCACTGACACCAATGATGGGGTGATATTCCTCTCACTGACACCAATGATGGGGCATTATAACTCTCAATGTCACCATTGATGGGGCATAGTTACCGATGCCATAACATTTTCTACTCCTACTGGCCACAGTCTGGCCCTTCAAAAGTCTGACGGACAATCAACTGGCCCTTTGTTTAGAAAGTTTGGAGCCCCCTGTTCTAGACTATGGATGATCTCTGACTCTGGTTCTCCAGCTGACCAGTCAGATAAATAAATGAAGCTAAATAATAAAGCTAAGCAAATCTAAATCCACTAAGTAGGACTAAACCGTTCATTTATAATAACTTTAAAAAAAAAAAAAAAGTACAGCCAAACCTTGTTTGGCTGTACTTCTCCTGTGGATCAGAGGAGTGCAGTTCGTTCTGCACTCATGTGACCCGTTTTCAGCTGACGGCTGGCTAGTCTGCTGTCAGTTAACATCACTCAGCCGGTCCAGGCTGCAGAAAGATCCCGAACATACTGTGAGGATGCACCCAGGAGCCTGGACCAGCACCTAGCTCAGCCTCTCAGCTACCTGCTGAGAGCCTGAGCCAGCCGCTCCCACCCCCTCCACAGCCAGAGCTCCAGTGAGAGCTGGGGGGGCTGAGCAGAGAGCGGTAACTGACAGTCGCCACTCTCTGTTCAGAGTGGCAGGGAGAACTGAACGATCAGTGGTGCCTGATTGCTCAGTTCTCACCCTTAGAGCCGGCAGGGGACAGATGCAGCAATCAGATCGATGCTGCATCCACCTAAGTATGATTTAAAAAAAAAAAAAAAAAGACTTCATACTTATTTTTTAAGTATGACTTTTCATATTTTTGCCTCATCCTATTGGTCATTTGCCCTTTATAATGCTTCTGGAGCACTTTCAGAGTAACTGGGAAGAAGATGGGAAGCAACTTATAATGATGTAGCCACTGGGATATTAAAGAGTGTAAGCAATGATCCTCATAAACCTGTACAATCTGCTGAAAAATTTGGTATACCCAAAGGGAAATTTCACAGGTAGGTATTTATTTATTTCAGTTACTTATATAGCGCCATCAATTTCACACCAGTCCCTAACCCTCAAGGAGTGTACAATCTGAGGTCCCTAATTCACAATCATACATATATTTACTAGGGCCAATTTAGACAGGAGCCAATTAACCTATCAGCATGTCTTTGGAGTGTGGGAGGAAACCAGAGTACCCGGAGGAACCCCCACGCAGACACAGGGAGAACATGCAAACTCCAGGCAGGTAGTGCTGTGGTTGGGATTTGAACCAATGACCCCAGTACTGCCAGGTGGAAGTGCTAACTATTTAGCCACTGCTGCCGCGCTTGTTTTCCACAATCTATAGCTATTTGCAGTTGTCAAACAAATATTTGCCTAGGCACAACTGCCAGCTGTAGGTTACTCTGGTGGACAATATGGGTGCTTGTAGAATGTGAATTGCCAATTCCTTTCTGTGCGGGGTGGATAGAGCAAACACCTCTGGAAATTTTCAAAATTTTCCTTATTTGTCCCCACAGTCTTGTGTTATAGTATCACATTTGTGGATAATCTGGAGAAAGATGGATTTAATTGTTAATGGGAGAATGGTAGAATGTTTTTGAAACACATTTTCACCATTTTCATAAAATCTCTTAATTTAAAAGCTAGTAACTGATATGGGTGTTGAGATTTCCTGCAATGTGCTTTATTCTTTGTAGTTTTAATTGGATAGTGCTATACCTAATATTGTCCACCAGGGGACACTGGTGCTTTGCCGCTGTGATAGATGAATCTGAAGTTTTCCTGGATAATTTAGAAGAGTCGCAAAGTAAGATGAACACTATGTAAGTGTTTCTAGACATACAGATTGTATTTAGCATGATGAATAATTACTATTTTAATAGGCTGTTTTTTTTCTATCATGTTATTATCATTAGAAGAAATATAGGAATACTTAAAATTGCATCTGAAATGTGCTGAAAATGTGTGTGTGTGTGTGTGGTCCGCATAAAATTGAAAAGAAATTAGGATGGTTCAATAATCCAATAGTATCAGGGTGCCTCCTCACATTTTAAGATGTGTGGTTGAGTAGACAGAAAATAGATTAAGAAATGCAATGAATTGCCCCTGTTTTGCCTCTGATCTATAGAATACAAAACAGAGCGCATGTCATTGATCGACCTCTATTGTGCTTCAGTGAATAGAAGCCCAGCACTATCACAAGCTATTAATTGGATTTAGATGCAAAATTATATTGGATCACCCTCTACAAATCGGGCTTCTCACTACAAACACGTGAAGCATTTCAATCTGTTTCAGTCTTAAAGGAAATTAGAGGATTTTTAAAACTTTATTCAGTTTTTATAATGGTGGTATATTCTCTTTAAACTTTACAGCCATTCATGTTAAATGTGCAATCATTAAACACGTAGCTGGTGCCATTTTTTTGTTGTCTTTCTTAAAATAAAAGTTCTCATTGATATTCTTTATTACATTTTTATGTTGAATAGAGTAGAATTTTTTTTTTTTCTCATTGCGAATACTTTTTCTTTACTGTCTCAGAGAAACATCAGATATTGCTTTGTTTTGGGGTTTCCCTCTATTTCTGTTCTGGTGACAGCTTACAATGTACACCATGTTCCAAATTATTATGAAATGATATTTTTCTCATTTACCTAAATAATTGATGTAAATAACAGTCAGCATAATTCTCATGTTATCGACTATTAAGAGTACAATTCAAATTTTATTGAACAAACCTCCTAATGATAACAGTATTTTTTTAAACATAAAAAACTTCCAATGCACTGTTCCAAATTATTACGCACAGTAAGTTTCAAAACACTTGATAGGTTGTAAAGAACTGAAAATTGTCATTTGTTGTGTTTGCAGCATATTTACTGAAATCAAAAGCTATTTCAATCAAACTTTTAACAACATTTTAACTTTTTAAATATTTTAACAGCTCACGTTACATTGTAACATAGGACCCCTTATTTGATAGCAGCTTCACAAGTCTTGCATCCATTGAACTTGTGAGTTTTTGGACAGTTTCTGTTTGAATTTGTTTGCAAGATGTCAGAATAGCCTCCCAGAGCTGCTGTTTGGATGTAAACTGCCTCCCACCCTCATAGATCTTTTGCTTGAGGATGCTCCAAAGGTTCTCAAAGGTTCTCAGGGGAGGATGGAGGCCACTCTCCTTTTATCCCCATAACAGCCATTGATGCTGGTATTCTTTGCAGCATGAGATGGTACATTGTCATGCATGTAGATGATTTTATTATGGAAAGCATAGTTCTTCCTTCTGTACCAGGGAAGAAAGTGGTCAGTCATAAACTCCACATAATTTGCAGAGGTCATCTTTACACCTTCGGGGACCCTAAAGGGGCCAACCAGCTCTGTTCCCATGATTCTGGCCCAAATCATGACTCCACCACCGCCTTGCTGACATCGCAGCCTTGTTGGAACAGGGTGGCCGTCCACCAACCATCCACTACTCTATCCATCTGGACCATCCAGGTTTGCATGGCACTCATCAGTGAACAGGACTGTTTGAAAATTAGTCTTCATGTATTTTTCTGCCCAATGCAGCCGTTTCTGCTTGTGAGCATTGGTTAGTGGTGGCCGAATAGAAGGTTTATGCACAGTTGCAATACTCTGGAGGACTCTACACCTTGATGTCCGTTGGACTCCAGAGGCACCAGCAGCTTCAAATATCTGTTTGCTGCTATGTAATGGTATTTTAGCAGCTGCTCTCTTGATCCGAAGCATGGATCTGGCAGAAATCTTCCTCAATGTGCCTTTATCTGCATGAACCCATCTGTGCTCTGAATCAGCCACAAATCTCTTAATAGTGCAATGATCACGCTTAAGTTTTCGTGAAATATCTAATGTTTTCATACCTTGTCCAAGGCATTGAACTATTTCACTCTTTTCGACAGCAGAGAGATCCTTTTTCTTCCCCATATTGCTTGAAAATGGTGCTCTGCTTAACAATGTGGAACATCCTCCTTTGGTAGTTTTTCCTTAAATTGGGCTCACCGGCCAATCTAATTATCACAGGTGTCCGAGATTGTTTTCAGTGCTCAAAAGAGCCCTGACACACAATGCCATCCATAAGTTAAACTGAAAAACAAAATATTTAATCTTTGTGACACTTAAATAGAATTTGCATAATAATTTGGAACACGGTGTAGATTTCCCATCACTTTTTGTGATGACATTGATCAGCAGAACTAATAAAATGTGCAAATCTCTTCCGTAAGGACACAGCAATAAATAATTAACAGGGTTTTCCACACTTTCTCAGTCTACCCAAAATAAGAAAAAAAATTGTTTTTAAGGGGTTAAGATACAGGCCAAACGTTTCATATTCAAAAGTAAAATGGAGAGCAGTAAGAAACCAAAATGTGCTAGTAATTTGGAGGGAAGGGGTGTTCTCAGGCTCTTACAGGATATCTAAACTCAAACATAAAAACAAACTAGTATATTGCAGCTTACCAGTTTGCAGATAAAGTGGCTGCATTAATTTTTTTTTATCATTTTTTTTAGAGTAAATTTTTTTGTAAGTACAGAAATAAAACTGTTTTACTTGCCAAGACAGCATTGTCCTTTTAAACTTCCTGTGCACTGGTCTGATATATAAAGCAATCTAAGTACCTATCTTCGGGGATTTACAAAAGGATACTTCCCAATAAAATGGCAATAGGGAGTGGAGGAGTAGTTAGTAGTATGTATGGGAGCAGCCTCAAGTGATAACCACGGCTCCCTCCATAGATACAGTGGAGTGAGTGAGTACAAGCACCCTACGATAAGTGTACCGTGTGAAGCAAGGCTCACAGGACTTCTCTTAATTGTTGCCAAGTTCCGCTTATAAGAGAGCTGCACTACAAATCTTTTGCAGTGCAATAATACTATTAAAGGAGGGTTCTGCTTTCAAACAGAAAATAGAAAACCTGTTGAGTGACCATAGTTGCTGTTCCACAAAAAGTCTTGGTCAGCTGTTGTAACTGCACTGCCATGACTACCAACACTCAGAACTTTTATGCTTTCTTTAGAACAATATATGATGGCCTCAGAAAATCCACAAATTACTGCAGCATGGCCAATTGTGAATCACGTCAACTGGTGAACATAAGGAATATCTAAATTAGATGTTACATGACAGCATGGGCTGGATCAAAGAACACATTATTACAGGCAATGTTGACAATTACTTTTCATTAGTGTATCACATATAATTATATACA